GTAAGCACTAGATTATAGGGGAGGGGTGTGTGTGTGATGGATGTAACAGTAACAGAGTCAGAATCCACAGATGGGAAGAGCCAACAGCTCTCCACCGGTCTGCCCTGTTAGATCACAAGTGGGCTAGATCACTGGAGAGGATCTGGCCCACGATCTTTAGGTGAAGTGTTTTCCCTCTCTGTAACTGGTTGGATGGGGTTTGGTACTTGGTAAAAAGCTTGAAACAATAATTAAAAGCAAAATAATAAAACACCTGGAAGATCCTGACATGATAGGGTCTCACGAGCCTGGCGTCTGCAAAGGAAATCATGTCTCACTAATCCTATATAATTATTTGGACATGTCAATAAAGTAGTGGATAAACAATAACTGGTGGACAGAATTTACTTAGGTTTTCAAAACGCCTTTGATAAGGTCCATCACAAGAGAATACTTAAAGAAACTAAGTAAACATGGGGTGAGAGGCAAAGTATTGTCATGGATTAAAAAATGGTTAAGAAAAGAAAACAGAGTACGAATGGAAAGGGTTAACAATGAGATGCATCGAGGTTCCATATTAGTTCTGGTGTTGCTGAATGTATTTATTAACTATCAGGAAGGCTGCGATTTAGTCATGGAGGGCACAGAAGTCACAGAATCCATGACTTCCAAAAGACCTCCGTGACTTCAGCCAATTCTGGCTGGGAGCCTCCCAGGAGCCCCCCACAGCTCCCAGCCACCACACACGGCAGGGGAATCCCCGCAGCTCCCGGCCACCACGGGCACCAGTGGGGACCCCCGCAGCTCCCAGCAGCCATGGGAACCCCCTCAGCTCTCCACCTCCATGGGCGGCAGAGGGGACCCTGCAGCTCAGAACTGCCAGCGGAGGGCCCCCATGGGTGGTGGTGGCCCCTGGAGCTCCCAGCGCACCTGCAGTTGCCCCGGCTCCCCATTTTGTCACGGATATTTTTAGTAAATGTCAGGGACAGGTCACGGGCTTCCATGAATTTTTCATTATTGCCTATGACCTGTCCATGACTTTTACTAAAAATATCCGTGACAAAATCTTAGCTTTAACTATGAGGAAAGGTGAGGTTGAACTGATAGCAAAATTTGCAGATAATACAAAATTAATTAGGTTACTCAAATCCAGACATTACCGTGAGGAACTTCAGAGGGACTCAACCAAGCTAGCTGAATAGATAAAACAATGGCCAATGTAGTCCAGTGTTTATAAATGTAATGTAATGCACATTGGAGGGAAACATTTCGACTACTTATACACCTTACTGGGTTCTAAATTAACAATATCAACTCAGGAAAGGAACTTGTGCATCACTATGGACAGTTCAAAGAAGACTTCAGTTAATGTGTGGCTGCAGTCAAAAAAGCAGATATGATGTGAGGATTCTAAGGATTGGGATAGAGAATAATATGGGGAAAATATAATGTCATATAAATCAGTGGTGTAGCCTCCTCTAGGAAACTGCATGCACTAGTGGTCACTCTCTCATAAAAAGATATTGCAGAGCGGTTCAGAAAAGAGTGACAAGAATCACATGCATGGAAAACTCATATGAAGATAATTTAAAAAAACAGGGATTGCTCACATTAGAAAACCGATGAATAAAGAGGCTTATGATAAAAGTATATAATATAAAGAATGGGATAAGGAAGGTAGACATGGAGCTTCTGTTCTCATCTCATAACTCAGGAATAAGGACAGTCCATGACTTGAAGGGTAGCAAATTGAAAACTGACAAAAGGAACTACTTTTTCACACAATGAGTAATTAAACTGTGGAACTCATTGAGACAAGATGTCATTAATGCCAAGAACTTAACAAGATTCAGTGGGGAACTGCACATTTATATGAATATCAAGAATATCCAGAATATTAAAATAGTGAATGCTTAAAAAAAAAAGAGAGAGAGAGAGAGAGTACGTAGGGAAACGGGGTAAAAAAAACAACTACAT